TTGTTCTGTATCTTTTATATGTATATTCGTTATATGAACCTAAATCTCACTGAAAATATTGTTTCTCTTCTCTTCAATATCTAAACGTAGTAATGTTTAGTTACAACAAAATATAGGATATTATAACTAATATTGCTATTTATAACTATCAACTTACAACCCTATTCTCATATGTTTAGGTCTCTAAGCGACGTGTACTAGCCTAAAGGGTACTAATAATCCCGGATTTCTTGTGTCCCGACGTAACTCGATTTCAATCAGTTGTTACAACACGGTCCCTTGAGGAAATCACGACTTATTTACTTATTTTATTTATTATATAATTTTTTTAGACGTGACTTAGTCTTTTACTACTCGGCATAGGTCCTAAAGGTCGTAAGTTGAATTCTGAAAATGAGCCGAACTCTATGTCTCAATTTATATTTTTAACTGACTGTACGGTGATTGAAAACACCGATAACAAACCAAAATAATCGTAGTTGCCGAATTTTAAAAAGCATTAATTATTCTTCTTGAAAAACCTCATGCTGTAGTCTCTAAGGACAATCTCGGCAGGTAGTTCCACAATCTAAGTGTACGCGGGAGGAAACTCCTCTGAAAACGTACTGTGTGAAACCACTTAGGTTCCAATGTGTGGGGATGAATTCCATGTGGATGGAGTGGATCGATTTAGGTTCCAATGTGTGCGGATGAATTCCATGTTGATGGATGCGAGTGGATCGATGGTACCTAGACTGTAATGGTTTGTAGTGCTTTAATATTATACATTTTTTTTTGTATTTGTATATACATACATACATTTATATGCAAAATATAAAAATATACCACCTAAAGCCTGACTGTTATAGTTGTTGAATATAAATAAGAAAAGACCCGAAATTGACAATTAATTTTTTTATATATTTGTCGAATTAGGTATTATTTTGTGGAACTCTATTCATTCGCAGTTTGGTTTCGCTGAACATCAATGCCTGATGAAGCCTTGTACAGAGGCGAAAAACTTGTCGATATATGGATATATATTAATAGAAATATGATTGTGGGGACACAAGTACAATAAAATATAAAATAAAATTAAATAGCGACACCTTATATGTACAGTGGTGAGGTGATAGCCATCGTGATACAAAACCGTATATCTCATATATAAAATTCTCGTGTCACAGTTTTCGTTCCCATACTCCTCCGAAACGGCTTGACCTATTCTCATGAAATTTTGTGAGCGTATTGAGTAGGTTTGAGAATCGGCCATCATCTATTTTTCATCCCCCTAAATGTTAGGGGTAGTCCGCCCCAAAATTTTTTTTTAAATTTTTTAGACCAAATTTCTAGTTTCTTTTTTTATGATACAACATACAAAAATACATACAATCCTAAATTTTCACCCTTCTATCATCAACCCCTATTTTTTATAGCGTTATTAATTTATATGGCAAAACAATGTTTGCCGGGACAGCTAGTTATAAATAAAAACAGTGCACGTGTCTCTCCAGTTTGCTGTCGTGACCCGGTCAATATTGTACTCGATGAGATAATTCGGTTGCAGTGTTGTTACACCACTGCTCTGCAGGGAGCCAGCCTCCGGCTAGTTAATTGCTGATCACCCCGCTTTAATAGCCTATTATGTACCTAGTAATGTACCGACTTGGTGATTTTCAAACGCTACTCGTAATTTTCTATGGATACTAGTCTCCTTTGATTTATATGTACATTATATATGCATTTATGTTTTACTTATTTAGGTAAATAGGTAAAATACATTTTGACGCCTACGCTTAGTGCAGAGACCTTTTTAAATAAACACAACTCACCACTTTGTTTAATTGTCATAGGTTAAAGTTAAGTTAAGATCTATATTTGTAAAGTTGTGTCTCATGTGAAATGTCTTTTCTTAAAATAAATATTATTATTTCCAAAAAAATGTATCTAAGTATTTGTAAGCTGTGTAGTACCCATGATGATGAGTTCATCGTCAGGGGTACATAGGTGGTTTGGGATACCTCTGTGTTGATTGTTTGAGGTTGTTATCGGTATTATTATTTTTTTATAACTTGTGTTATGAGTACTAGACAATTGACATAAATACTTAGATACTTTTTTGTAAATACATACATATTGTACATAGAAAACATCTAGATCAATACACACAATTATACTCATGAATGCAATGTTTGCATTGTGCGACCAATCGAACCCGCGACCATCGGAAGTAAGGCAGTGTGCTTAACCGCTAGATCACCGAGGCCGTCGCATATAATATGGCGCATGGGTGGAAAAAAGTCATTAAAATAAACATAATAAATATTTCTTCACTACTGTTCAGTTCAGTATACAGATTCAATTGAGAAGAACTGGCAAGAAACTCATTAGTTTTTTTTCAAGTGTCAGTTTTTTGCAATGTATACTTATGTAAATGTCTATATCTAACATTAAGTAGAGTCCCGTGCATAAACTATTATTGAAATGCATATTTGTCTATCATCAACAGGGTGACAGAGTCCAGGGTGATAGATACCAGTCCAATCTCTTATAAGATTATTATATTACTCCTCAAACAGCAGAACAGTTTCGTTGCGCCAGAAATAAGCATTAAGAGTTAGTTCTGATGATCACACAGCATAGAGGTACATTTGAAATAAGCACTACATGAAATAAGCAGTGTTGCTTATTTATTTAGCAGCGCTGATGAGAAAAGTTAGCATGTATGACTTTTCTAACTTTTGTTAAACAGATAGAGATGAAGCTTAGGGAACTTACGCTTGTTATATTCGTACTAATAATACAACTACTACATTATTTTTTTTAAATATTGGTGTAGTCTTTATAACAGTGTAATTAGAACATAATTGCTTATTATAAGTCGTATAACCAAGAGGTTGTGAGTTAAAAACTGGTCGATATCGAAAGAATATTAGTATTTATATTTCTGACTGATTCTCGGTGCGGCTAAGCCAATTTTCTCACTGCTGAAGTGATGTAGCCCTAAAAGTCCCTAATATCCCTATCACAGAAATAAAAAAAAATTACCACGGACTTAAAGCGCCTTGGAAATAGACAATACTCACATCGAAAAACTAGTTCCGTTGTCACAACAAAAAAATCTCGCTTATATTTGTATTTATGACAGTGCTATTAAAAATACTAGATGAACCTATCGAAGTTCTAAGAAGTCTATCTATGTTGCTATAATAATGGGTTCCCTAGATCCCATAACTAACAGCCTTTCCCAGATTTTTGTAGCGTAAATGGCATACACCAAGCCACACTAAAACAAATTAGACTTAACTACAACCAACAGTATCGAGGTCGGTGTTAAACTTATAAGATTAAGTGAGTGGGTAGAGTGTAAGTTTGGGTATCTAATTTACTTAAGTTACACAGGTAAATTACGAGTTTGCCTTCTAAGTTAATTTTGTTTTTCTTCACTTTTTTATGTAATTAATAACAATAATAATAATAAATAATCTCAGGACAATTCACACTGTGTCATCTAAACCAAATTAAGCTAGCTAAAGCTTGTGTTATAGGTACTGGATAACTGATGCAAATACATAGATTTTTTTTGTAAATACATACATATTATACATAGAAAACACCCAGATCAATGCAAACAATCGTACTCATGAATACAAATGTTTGTACCGTGCGAGGAATCGAACCCGCGACCATCGAAAGTAAGGCAGTGTGCTTAACTTCTAGACCACTGAGGCCGTCATCGAATCGTAATTGGAGTTTCAACAAACTGATGATCTACATGTTCATATAACCGTCGCTATATTATCATTATGCCTTTTCTTTTGAAAATCCTCATAGAGACCCGAACGCAATAGAGGAGGTAAACAGGTACTGCCGGACTAACCTACACTTACCGGCTAAATACCTCAAACTTAACCTTCTGTCAACGCATCAGGGGAGGAACTCCCGGACTCTTACCGGCTAAAAAGAAAAGGCATACATTGGGGTGTGTCTTTTCTCTCATATCAGTTGTCTACTTATAACACAAGCTCTGTTTACTCTGGTACTGGATGGCTTTGTGTAAATTATCCAAGGGTTATTATTATTAATCCGAGACAACTGTAGGCTCGCGTCCTGCCATGTTGAATTGAAATATTTTCAGCGGAGGACGCTGAAAATAAATGACAGGTGTTACTTTCAGCAAAATGTCGACAGCTGGCAATGATCCTGATTGCCTAATTTAGGATTACATCCGTGAGACAATATTTTTCTTGCGCAAATATACTTTAAGCAACCAAAAAAATCTCTATTTGCTTTAATTATATATTACGCATATATAATTAAAGCAATATCCTATATATATTATAATAGCAATATATATAATTAAATGTATAATATATTAGCAATACATATATATACTTAAAATAAAATCACGACTAATATCCCAAATGGCAAGAAAAGATTGACTACCAATCTTTTCAATTATCCACGTAGTGTGAACGATCAGCTTTTTGCCATAGGATAAATGTTTGGTTTTAATACCGTTGTTTTTTTCACTGGAGAATCATTAAAAAAATTATGGACACCAAATTTTACTTGTTTTGCCGAGATTTGAACTCACGTACATATGTATAAATAGTGGTTACTAAGCCTATTTGTTGCTTCAATTATTGCGTATAGAAAGAAATTTTAATAAATTGTATTAATCGCAATACAAAATTGAAGTTCATTCATTATTGTCTGTTCTTATTAATTAGCAAGTTTTCTTTAAAACATTATGTTACACGCATTATCGAGGATGTTTTATGAAATAGCTGTTGTTAAATTTATAATCTGTGTTATTTTAATGTTTAGCTATATATGTTAAGCTATATTACTGTAAAGTTTCATCCAAAACCGTTCAGTACTTTTTCTGTGTACCTAAGAGTAACAAAAATCCATTTCTCCGTCCATACTTCTAAACTTTTACGATTATAATATTAGTTAAAGCAAGACAAGGTAGCAAAAGTCCTACAAATATTAAAATTAATGTTATTTTGTTTCAGATTACAACCAAATATCGAAGTATGAGATAGAGTGGCGCACCGTCGACTCACCGACGAAAAATGTGAAATAATGAACTCACTACCATCACTCACATGATTTCAATAAACAATTACACACAAATTCAGGGTACACCACAATACGCTCACATCTCATACAAAAATGACACCCACAATGCGACGCTACCAAAAATCGAGATGTTCAATTACGATTACAACTCGAATAACACATTCGAGTACGGGAGTGCGGTCAATGGAACTGCGGGTGTGTCGAGCCTTAATTTCACGGAATACACTGAAATACCGTATTACATAAAGGCCACGTCGATGACGTTCTGTATAGCCATAATGTGCTTAGGTGTTATAGGAAATGTGATGGTGCCAATAGTTATTTTGAAGACCAAGGACATGAGGAATTCGACTAATATATTTCTAGTGAATTTGAGTATAGCGGACTTGATGGTGCTGTTGGTGTGTACGCCGACTGTGTTGGTGGAGGTGAATTCGAAGCCTGAAACGTGGGTGCTGGGAAGAGAATTATGTATGTACATAATATATTTTTAATTTTATAATTATAGGTGGGAAAGAGAAGGAAGCATCGTGTCGTCTCTAACCCACACAGCTGGCGTCATGTGGCCATTATATTGTGTGTAACGGTGAGAGAACAGTGGTGTGTATCTGAAAGGCGATAATTAGGAAGACAAGCAGTACATATTAATAAAACAAGTACTATTATATACTTGCTAGTATTTATTTTATTATATAAGTACTACCAAGTACTTTTTATGTGGTTCATGATAAAAAGTAGGCTGTATCGTTTGCCATTCCGTATGGTTTTATGTTAATATTATGTAACTAGAATAGCAAACAAAGTGACGGCTCACCTGATGGTAAATGATACAATGGATATCACGTTATCATGTGACACTGGTAGTATTGCTATTTCAGAGAAAATAGTTCTGCATCTGTATTGCATTTCTGCATTCATGTATTTCTCTGTCATATCTCACTCTTCAAACTAATCAGCAATTAGTTTACAAAGCAAGTTATTTCTCGTGCGAGGAATTGAATCCGCGACCATCGGAAGGCGGTGTGCTAAATCGATAGACCATCGAGGCCGTCTAACCACACAAATATTTACTATGCTTATATAGTATAAGTATAAGTACAATAAGACATGCTTCAATTTATAACACCTCTAAATGTTCTAAACTGAGAATTGAACCAACGATTCCTCGAATAAAAGCATGAACATAACTTGAATTCAAGCAAACATGACACTGAACTCGGTTTCAACTTTCTCGTATTATTAAGTTGAAAACACAGTAATCGAGTTGTAAGCTTGGAAATATCGTAATTTTATTAATAAAAAATATGCATACACAAATTGGATTGTGACTCGCAAAATCGTTAAATTTTGACAGACGAAAGATTATGGCGAATTTATGTACAATACTGGATCGTTTACTTCGTTAAATGCACATTTCGTGCGAACAAAAAACAACTCGTATAACTGTCATTGGTTATTATAAAAGAAATTGGAGTCATGTTATAATGCAAAAATGGATGCAGTTTAACCGATTTGAAAAAAAAGGATATCATATGCAGACATATTTTTTTAAATGAATAACATTGTGTTTACAACTTTGTTACATGTAGAGTGTTAATAATAAATAATAATAACCCAGAGCCATTCAGACAGTCCCACCTAGTCCCAAACTAAGCAGAATTTGTATTATGGGACAACTGATAGAAATACTTAAATACATTTTTTTGTAAATAAATACATAATATACATAGAAAACACCCAAATCAAAATACAAACAATCATACTCTTTAATACAAATATTTGCACTTGCCAATATCCACCTGGCCCTTTTCTTTTAAAATAAAAAAAAAGTTTCTAAAAATAAAATAATTTCAAAGTAAGATTATGGTTTCTATAATTAAATGTTTGAAACTGTGTGATATAATCAGTGATTAAAGTTTTAAAGAAGATAAACTTCTTCCTCGATGTCAGGATTTCGGTTGGCATTGTAATTACATTTGATATCAAAAGTATTTTAAAAAAGTTTCTATTTGAGGTGGAGCATCAGAAAAATCTTAAACTGTATATTATTTCTGTCACTCATATTCTTATTTATACCAAGCTGACCGGTAGGGATAGTGATTACATGTTTGACATGTGTAAGTGGTAAAAAATAAACGAATTTGACTTTCATTTTGACTTGGTATCCAGATACATAAAAAAAGAAAAAGTATATCTCATATATCTGTGATAACTACGATAATAATAAAGTGCTCTTTGCCTGTTTCATCACTAAAAAGGAGATGGACGAATATGGGAAAAAAAAGTCATTTGATTGCATTCTTATTTCAAATCTTATTGTAATTTAAAAATGAATACCAAACAGATTTCAAATTCAAATTCATAAGCGACGTTCTCGTGTAGTTTTATAGGACAAGTTTATAACATTTACTAGAAAGTATAGTAAAAATGTTATTTAGATTATATTAAAGTTTAATGTGGCAACATCGAGGAATTGTGAAAGGTGCATCTTTTAAATATTAAAGTAATTGAGTACAAACTTTCACGTGACTCTAACATCATACAGTTACGTATTGTTCGGATAAAGCTGGCAACACACGTAACTTCAGATACGTTCTGATGATTCTTTGTTTATGTGTTCAAAGTCTGTTTTTTCTCTAATTAAAAAGGCAAAACAAGCTGACGCATGACGGCCCACTTGATTGTAAGTGTTTTTTTTTCACTCTACTCTAATGCAGTTGGTCAAAGCTGGCCTTTACAGCTTCACCGGACGATAGGGGACGAGTGCAGATAGCACTCCAAACCTGCAGAAGGACTTTGGCAAGTGTAAACCATCGCCTATTTACATGAACATCATCGCTGATATCACGTTGCCATTTCTGAGGAGTATATAGTATACGGATATTACGCTTTTATTCTGTAATTTCAATGCATTATTCCATCTTTACATTGAAATATATCTTACTAAGCAAACTGGTTGGCAGCTGAAAGACGTGAGATCGAAATGCTACCTTGTCAGATTGACCTCCATGCGGTTATCCTCTGGAAACCATTGTGATAAATTTCTGGTGAATTTGTCATGATGTAGTTGATTGGGAGACTGATTGAGGCGCTGACCTGACCTCATGTTCATCTTATCATCCTCCACTGGTACCCCGCCAGCATAAGCCTTAGCGCAGGCGGGTGCACCATTCCATTATCATCTATTAAAAAAAATTGGTTTGTAGAGAAAAGATCTATTACGACAATACAAAATATTATAATAATGTAAGTTTATTTGTATAAATGATTACGTATTCTATTCTATTTTACTCTGGTATCGGTGATACAAAAACTAATATAACCAACTGACCACAGATTTGGCAATAGACAATTCTAACATCAGTAAACTTGTTCCGTTGTCGAAACAAAAAAAAAACTCGCTTCTGTTTGTATTTATATCAATTACTGTGGCAAAGAGTGTCATCGCTACCGGCTCTATTGAATGAGGTGGAGTCACACTGTAAGCGGAGTCTCAACGAGTTATCTCTTATTCTAGCCGACCCACGTAACTTCGTTTGCGTCACTTATTGATTACTAGCTGTACCCGCGACATCGTCCGCGTGGAATAATACTTTATTTTTCTAAAATAAAATAATGTTTCTAAAATAAAAGTAGTAGCCTAAGTTACTCCCTATTACATCAGCTACCTGCCAAAAAAAAAAATCGGTTGGTTTCAGAGATTACAAACAGACCGACAGACAAACAGATAAAAATTTTATTTATATGTATTTACCCTATTTATATTCATATGCGTGATTAAAAAACGGTTATTTCAATATTACAATATATAGACAATTTATATTTTATGTATTATTTTATAGAGATATAGATAGCGTGATTATATATCCTATATCCTGTCTCGATAAATGGGTATATAACACTATAATAATTCTTTAGTAAAGATATAGAGACAACTTATATTTTATTATTATTTTATATGTATGTATGTCTATAATGTATTTATAATATGGGCCATTAGTAATCTGAATTACATACTTGAAATTATGAATTAATTCATTCTATTTCCTGAGATTAGCGCTGTCAAACAAACACTCTTTAGCTTTCTAATATTAGTTTATATATATATCAAAAATATCTAAAAATAAATATTCAATAATTAGTTCTTTACTTTATTATTACAGTAATGAGTACCTATCTAAATTAGTTAATTCTATCGTTAAAGTAATTTCTTTAAAAAAAAGATATTTTTATTCGTTTATTTTTATTGTAATGTGTGCATTTTATCGGTATGGATATCAAAAACATATTACTGTAATTTTTTATCTACTGCTACCGAGTTGTAACATTATAATAAATGTACGTGGTAAACATTTTATGGATTTCCATAATTTTTAATGAAACCGCTTATTTTTATTATGTAGATGTCCTTGAATAATACAAATGATTATATATATATATGTATTTTGTCCAGTTCAATGACCTAAAATCCGCTACGCCTATTATGTAATTAATCCGCTCACATACGAACCATATCCTATTGCTGACCATTCGCAGCATATGCCGACATTGTGTTAAATGACCTACACTAACAAATACTAGGCTACAGCTGCGTCCACCACAACCCTTATTGCATTAAATTATAGTTCAATTTTGTTTAAATTTCACTCCGGAATATCGTGGCTTTTTATACCACAATGCGCCCTAATTAAGTGTAATAAAGCGTACGTCGTGGATTGTCGTGGTATAGGGTTGCCACTTTATGTTCTAGTTAGTCTGCCATCCACACAAAAGGATGCGAGTTTAGACGGGGTGGAATTACAATGAAGGAGAAGGAATTAGGAGGAGAGAGGGAATTAGGAGGTTAGAGGGGGAACTGAGGCATCGCCTTCGTGAGCGTAGCTTCGCCTTGGCAGACGTATCAATAAGATTTCTTCCAAGTGTTGCGTTGAAACTAATTCTCACAGTGGACCGCCTCTGGGATTGCAGTAGAATGCGCCAGTGACTTTGAGACCCAATATTTTTTTTTAAGGATGATATAGAATAAAAGACTCGCCTACGCTAACGGTTTACGCTAGCGTGGTACCAGTAGAGGATGATAAGATGAGCATGAGGTCAGTTCAGTTAGCCCATCGTGACAAATTCATCAAAAATTTATCGTAATGGTTTCCAGGGGGAACCGCATGGAGGTCAACCTAACATGGGACATTGCTACCAATAAGATCATCAATCCACATTACTAACAATCTCCTTTCGCCCCGCCGTATGGTGTTAAGTTCGCCAAATGTACTGTACTGTATATTATATTGTGTGCATTAAAATTAACTGTGTAAAAAAAAAAATGTAAATAAATAACTATAAACCTGTATTTTAGATAATTAAATAAATAAATTTTCAAATAAATTTTCTTTTGGACTGAAAAACAAGCTGTAAATATTATTTGAATTTATGACTTTCTCTGTTTATAATTCAATTTTTTTCCATTTAACTCT